ATGATAAATGCACTGTTTGTTCTTGAAGAGTGTCATGTATGCCATTGGGGCCAAGAAGGACCTACAGTAGTTGCTTGAATACTTGTCCGTAAGCACTTAATTTTATGGGCCAAACTTCAGAATTCTCAGCCACTTACTCGCTTTTTGTTGAATGACAAACTTGCCCACTGTGTGAAGCCCTGTTCTTCTAGCGTTCAGTTAAACTCAAGTTTAGTGGCTGGGAATTCTGATGTTGCTCAATTTTCATGTACACAAGTAATAAAAATTAAATCGAATTCAGCCTGAATTTAATTACAGTTTTAATGTATCGTTTCTTTCTTTTCACTCGGCTCACAGAGCACTGCAAAACTTAATAGCGGGTTACCTGCTGGAAACTTTCCTAGCAGGTCTGGTTGACTCTTCCAGACTTTTTTTTCTGGCTACAGTTTCTGCAGAAACTTTCTACGGTTAACAAGGTACCTGTCTGTGATACAGAAAGTTTGGGTTTTGAAAAAAGAAGCACAAGTGGCAGAACTGAAACAAAAGAAGAAGTTTGGAAAGGAAAACAATTTCCTTCGGTTCCTCTCGAATGTTTTTTCCTTGTAGATCCAACCTGTAAAAAATGATTGAAAGGAAATACTCATTTAATCATAGCATCTGAAATAATAAAATAACAATAAAAAAATGATTATCATTTTTATTGTTTTTCTCAGGGTGTTGCCAGTTTTTCAACTTGTTGTAAACCTGGTTAATTGTGGGTTGGGATTTTATTCTCACATACATCCTGAAAAATGCTTTTTTATAATAATTCTGTTGATTGCACACATGACAACTTTGAGCCCTTAAGCTATCTAGCCCACCCCAACGATGCATAATTTATTACAAGTGGTTGAGTGGACAAACGAAACATTTTAGGCCTGGGACTTCCAGTCTATGGGCTGGCTATGCCTCTTTTTTTTTTTGCAATTCTTATCTGAGTAAATTAAAAAACAAATTTCATGTACTCTTGTTTCTAAAGAGATCCTCTCATAATGGAAGTTAGTTTTAGGCCTAAATCACTTCCCAGAGGATACTTACAGCTAAGGTGTTAAAATGCAATAAATTTTGCATCTTTGTACCTTGGGTTCTGACGAGTCTTCACCGAGTCATCATCTTCCTTTAGTTTTTTATATACATCTTCGATTTCTTCAGGACTCCATGTAGGGTCTTCATCACACTCAAACTCCTCATACGTGTCGTCCTGCATTTCCTGCTCATCTTCTGATTCATCCTCTAGCCCTAACTCTGTCTCATTTGTTACTGGCCATGGATCAGTTTGAATAGCTTAAACAAATGGAATTTAAAAAATTCTATCACCATTAAAATTTTAATTATTATTAAATAATCAAATATTGATAAAATGTAATAGAAATATAAAGATAGGCAGCTATGCCTATATGGCTCATCAACATCAATTATTGTTGACTCACTAGCATTCACCATCAGCAACTGCTTAGGCTCTTGTATGCTCTTAAAGGTTTCAACCCACTGATCTTGATTGGAGATTAACTTACTCTTCAGTCTTGTGACTTTGCCCCTTAACTGAGTCACCTCACTCCTCAGGGTTTTGCATGTTGTGCAATTCCCAGCATGTCCAGTTGGAGTATCCTACAAAAAACAAACTTTCAACATTAATACAGGCTGTAATAACAAGACTTTAAAATTTTTGTGTTTTAGTATTGTTGTAAAATAGCTGCACATGTAGTTTTCCATTATTATGATAATACAAAGATGCAAATAAACATTAATTAGAGTTATGCGCCTACCATAGAAACCTGTTCAAGTTCAGGAATCGTTAATGATTCATCAATCTGCATAACTTCATCCATATCCTGCACTTTTTCGATTCCCCGAGCCTCCAGGATCTGCATGGTCTCAGTAACCTCATCAGTGCCTGAAATCCCTTGGCTCTCGAGAGCTCTCTTATCACCAGGAGTGCCTAGGACCTCTGAAGCCATCTCAGCATCAACACTTATCTCACCCGTCTCAGTCTCAGGGATGCAGCCCTCCTTTTCAGGATTTACCTCAAGCAAAGAACCCTGACTTGTATTCAGAACACCCTTGACTTCTGGAGACTCCTCAGGGTTGAGATTGGGAGCCCCCATAGTGTCAGCACTCTCCTCAGGTGCAGAACTTCCTTTCAAAGAGATCACCTCTTCTTCAGGATTGTCTTCTTCCTCTGTATCCTCATTAGTAGTTTGACCAGCCAGAATTTCATTTAGTAGCTAAAAATGAAAATAGGTACGACCATTTTTTGTATCTCCCCTTCAAAACAAGTTTAAATTTGAGCTTTATGTCGATGTTTTCAAAACTAGAAATGGAAGCAAGGTTTAACCACATCTTTGCCTTAAAATGTATGCATCATTTGCAGACAGTGAAAATAGAATTAAAATACAAACAAAAAAAAACCCCGCAAACAGTAACTGAACTTATAGAATGTAGAAATCAGACTAAGTCCATTTTTGGTCGTTTTAAAAGACTCGCGTGTAACTCTTAATTTGCTGTAAGATTTCTTGGAAGGAAGTTTGGAGTACTGTCAAATCTCAAAGTAACAGCAACATAATCTCTCAAAAAATAGAGAGCCGGATTTCTATGTAGCTTCACTTTTTCTAAATTTTACGCTTGAGTGGAAAGGTCTGGGAATTGGGGAATTGACTTCACGTCCACTCAGCGCAAATGCCAGTTTTACTATAACTATGAGAAGAAAGCAGAAAAGTATGAAAACACATGCAACAATATGGGAAGTCCAAATAGTCAGAGCATTCATTACACGAATATTGAACAAGGATGCCAGAAAAAATCATGTCACAGGTAAATGGGGAAATAAATATAATGGTGATAAGCACAGCGCAAATACATTGTAATTTCACTCACCGATCGTCGACTCCGCTTTGATAGTGTTTGAGAGGATTTTTTCCAAATGGTTGGAAACGTCCCCTTCTTCAAATTCCTTTTCATGCCTTTCATCGGAAAAGCAAGCGTAAAACAATCCCTTGTAAAATGCTCCGAGCACACAGCAAATTTTCCCACTGTGTTGAAATCCTTCCGATGAATGGACACGAACCTTTTCCACTTTAATCTAACGCTGCCCGAATCAGGAGAATTATGAATAGAAATCCCCAATTCATCGTTCTTTACGTTTCCACAGTCCTGAACGCTTAAGTCAAAAAAGCGAAGAAAGAACCTCCAAAAGCTTTCAAAAATATCTCGTCCTGCATGCGAAATTAGCCACGTTTGTTTGCCTTGTTTTGTCGCGTTGATTTTTCTACGTCACATCTCGCCCCAACTCCTTCAAATACTACTCCCGGTCATTTTTTGAATCGAGTAATGGCGGCAAGACATTTACGAAAATTGCCGTGCAAATAAACACACTTCCAGATTATATTTGGACTCCAAACTTGGCACGGTAAGTCACTTTTACATACATTTTCGAAATATGTAATCAAAAACAAATTCCCAAATTTGATCGTAGTAGCACTTTAAGGGAGCTTGTATATACCTCCCTTGGTTGCCTCGATCATGGCAAAGTTTGAACAAATTATGGAGCGTTTTGGAAATATTTTGAAACAAAGTTTCAAGGGCCATAAAAACATTGAATAGATATGCTATCGACATGCATAACTGGCTCATATCTAAAGAAAATGATGAGGTCTTGAAATGCAGTTTCGTCTCATAGCATAGCAATTAATTTCCGAAGATATCTCCGAATTATGCTAATGTAGGAGATCATGGTAAAGACAACATCTTTAGCGTCACTTTTTGATCATGTGGGACACAGAAATAAATCGCTTTGCAATAGTTTATTTGAATTTATGTTTCCTTTTTGCAATACCTATTTTCAGTCAACTTATTTAGCTTTATTTTCATTGGTACGGAGACCCCTGAACATGACAGGAAAGTAACTGAGGATCCTTCTGAATGCAAATTAGAACAGCTACTACGTACTGCAAATCAAGAAGGATATTACAAATTATTACAAAATCGTCTACTGACGTTCTCTAAACTTAAGCAAAAACAGCTTTAAAACTTGTTTGAAGAAAAAGATGGCTTTTCGCCGCACCATAGGGATCAATGGGAATCTGAAAAAAAATATCCATGTTGCCTGTATGGATCATACAGATCATGCTCTAAAGTTTTTAATATTTCATTCACACTTGGCATGGACTGAGGTTAATTAACTATCAGTTTTCAGGGAAAGGAAAAAAATAATACAATTCTTTTCCTGTACAAAAACAAAAACGTTTACTTCATGCTTGTTTAAATCCTAGGAAACTACTTAACAGAGTTGATTATAATAATTAATGTGGAAAATAAACCCAGGAAAAAGAAATACTTTCCCTTGGTTTGAAACAAAAATTTCAATTAGAAATTTCGTCTACCACTACCGTTGACGTGGGCTTGATACCTCAGAATCGCCGTTTCAAGAGCAACTGACATATACTGCTAGGAACCTTACGAAACTACAACAGCGACGGCAAGGAGAACGCCTAAAACACAATAGGCTTCGGCTGCACGTGCATCACTTTTTTTTGTACATTTCTCCGCTGTCCGTACACAACTACAACGTGGAATAGTCAATTTTTTTTTAGTTGACGGGCTTAAGAACTGGAACGACAAGGCGATAAATTTATTTACTATCTCTCTCTGAACTCGGACGCGGTCTCCTCTCTTCAGTTCCAACTTAACACATGTTCCGTGCTTTCAATTCACTTTGGCGACTTGTTATGAGGGCGAAAAAGGACGCGAAGTCTATTTTTCAGCGACGTTTTCATTGGCGTCTCTGTTTTCGGATAGTAAGGTCCCTATTGGATTGTATTCTTATCGTCCTTTGGTTCTTGTACCCTCCCTAAACACCTGTGCTTCCAAACTATGATTTGAGACAAACCGCCAGGGAATTGCCGGCTCCAAAACTGCCGCCCGCGTGCCTGACACAATCCGCTATCAAAAGCAGTTCTGCCAACTAATATTAAGATCTCGGTCCTTCAAAAATGATCTAACGTATAAGTGGAAGGCTCTACTTGGTTACTTTTCTTAAAAACCACCAGACTGATAAGTCGTTTAAACTCTTTCTTTATGTCTCTTTTGAAAAAAGCATAAGACAGCGGGTTAATGGCCGAGTTTAAAACCAACACAGGAATTTTGTATTGTTCATCTTTACATGATGCATTTGTGTCGGATAGTACTACGAGACTACAACGCAAATATATTCCGTAGCACACAACAAACACTCCTATCACAATACCCATCATTATTGCTGCAGACTTCTCGTTATGGGTTTTAAAAGATATCCGATGGTTAAAACGTAACTGTTTTGCTAGGGTGCGTGCTGACCGATCATGTTTCCATACATGAAGTAAGATTGACGCAAAACAGAGTACTTGCATTACGCATGGAACGATTTCCATGAAAATCATTAAAACCACAACTGCAACGATACTGGTCAGAGGGGTCTCACAGCAAAGCCGAAGTGCGGTCTTGAACGCAACCAGCGTAAATGACGCTATCCAACAGGAAGTTATCACTTGAATAACACGAGAGCGAGTCATAAAAGTTATGTATTTAAAAGGCTTTACGATGGCGATATAACGGTCGAACACCAGAGCACACAAGTTTAAAACAGACAAGTAGCTAAACAGCCACCTTACGACATCTTTCCATGAAGGAAAAACCTTAGGCCAGTAGCAGGTGTTTGTAACGTCGCATGCGAACAAAGAAGGAACAACGCTCAAACCAACACAAAAATCCGCTACTGCAAGTGAAACAATAAACGCGTTGGTTTTGGTGCGGAGATTTCGTCTGCTGAAGACGAGGAAGATTACAAATCCATTTCCAGTGATGGCAAGAAAGGAAAGGACCCATCCAAGAATCCAAAACCAGGTCTCCATCCGTACTAACGGCAGTTAAGAGAAGTTCTTATTAACTACAGATAAAAGAAAAATATCCTCTTCGCAAAAGTGTCAGGAGGTTGTGAGTTATTCACTGGCAGATGTATGTTACTAGACTGAAGTCCTTTTTATTGACCTACTTTGTCATAAACTTGGTAATTTCTAATAATTATGTGTTCCGCATGCGCAGTAGGTAACTGACCGAGCTGTAATAGCACAGTTGGTAGGAAAATGAGGATAGTTGCGTGCCTTAACCGCTGTAATTCAAAGCCAATGGGCGCTTTCAATACAACAAAAATTCCGGTTAAAATGTTGGAAATTCCCTTGCCCAATGTAACTATACATCGACCCGACCAAAGCAACGGCGCGTTTGGTTATTGTTTCTACAAAAGAGTGGTATTTGAGACAACAATTTTGTCAAATGGAAAGGGACACTCCAACATTGCCGATCTTAATCTAAATAGCTCTTATCTGGCGGGATTTTAAATATTCTCTTTACAACTAAACCGGTCTGGTCTGTCAATTATAACAGATGGAATTAACCGAGACCTTAGCTAATTAAAAGAAATGTACCTTCTCTTTAGCCTAAATTGCGGCCGACATGTTTCTTACAAATTGCGACAGGTCTACTACAAATTACCACAAAAGTGCATAAATAAAAAGGCTGTCTCTAATATCACTAAATTTGCCTGAGAACGTTTCCGCCGTTGTCGTTATTTATTCCTAAGCGAGAAAATAAAACAAGACAGACATGAGCCAGCAGCATCACGGTAATAATCTGCCCATGCATGCAGTCTGTTCCGTTTAATTCCACTGCTGTACTAAATAGAGTATGCAAAGGTTTTCAGTTAATAAATAGAGCAAGGAAAAAAAAATAAACTGATCACGATGTGAAACAGAAACACAATGTCGAAAATTTTTTAAAGGCAGTTCAACTGTGGAAAAAAACACCCTCTTGACAAAAACTTCTTGCCTAACAGTTTTTTAGTATAAAACCTTGTTACTATAAGACCTTTCAATGTATATATATATATATATATCAGTATATATATATATATATATATATACATGGCGCAAGACGCCTGGGGTGTCGATATGATCTTTAACAACTGTTTCACTAGCTCAGTTAGCAATCAGCTAACAATATTGTTTAGTTAAATGTCTTCTACTGCATTTTTATTTCGAACGGCTAAATTGGAAGGTATTATTATTCATTCGGCATGAAACGATTTTAATATTGTTCCAGCCACAAGCAACTTGTCTCTCCTATTTGCTGTTGGGCTTCCTTAGCAACCAATATTAACATTTCTTTGTCGGCATGATTTCAACAGAATTTGAATGAAAATTACCCTTACGTTCGTGTAACCGGGGCGAAAAAGGTGACACATTTAGCGAACATTTGTATTCGAGCGAAAAAGCGACAGCGACAATTGTTTGTAGCGAAAATACTACAGTGACGTTTGTCTCTAGCCAAATAGGCGACAGGTGGATTGGAAAATGAGCGACAAAGCGACATCAGAACCCCCTTGGAAGGCCTCACCAACTCACCAATGTGACCAGGGTTCAAATCCAGGCGTCAACTCCAAACGTAGTTACAGTTTGTTGTTCGGTTCTCTCCTTTGCTTCGAGAGGTTTTTCTCCGGATACTCCGGTTTTCCCTTTTCCTCAAAAACCAACACTTCCAAATTCTAATTCTATCTTGAACGCTCAGACACGTTTAAACGAGTTTATAAGAACTCCTAAGTGCTTCGTGGGAAAACAAATTACAATTTACAATTTACAACCTGCAATTTTAAGGAAAAATATTTACAAATACCGTATTTACTCGATTAACCGCCCTAGGCGCTTACTAAATTTTTGGACCTTGAGAGTGGGCGCTTATTCGAGGTGGGCGCTTATTCGAGGCTGGGCGCTTATTAAATTTTCAACACTTCAGCAAGTGCAGTATGTTTATTTTGCAACAAAACAGTAAATAGTAAAAACAAAACGCGAAGATGTAACAAAGCAAGGTTTCTGTAAAATACTCTGAAGAAAACTCCGTCTTCGGGGAAGTCTCTTATTAGTGCTTATTCAATTTGGGGGGTGTGAGGGGCAAGAGGGTAGGGTAGGGTGGGCGCTTATTCGAGGCTGGGCGCTTATTAACTTTTTCTGCCTTTAGGATGGGCGCTTATTCGAGGTGGGCGCTAATTCAAGATTGGGCGCTTATTCGAATAAATACGGTACCGGCGAGAAGAAGGTGCCTGAATTGGAGTTTGAAACAATAGACACAGTTGAACACAGGTCTTCTTCTGACTGGAATTTGCGAATATATTTACCTCAGGTCAAGGCTAGCACTGTCTAAACGAGTTCTCAGTGCTTCCATTCAGCGGCCGCGACGAATTCGAAACTGGACTATTTAGATAGTGAAGGAAGGTACAAGCTCCCTCAGGCGATTTCTGAGAAAAAGTCCTGTTACCGAGAAATACAATGGTAAGTAAAATACGTAATGGCCTCATTACGGTAACTCCGGAAATGTCGATAAAACATACATCATAACAAATTTTCATCTTCATACAATACAGCTGTGGTAAATCTTTTTCCGAGACCTTTGTTAATGTCGACATAGTAAATGCTCAAACTTGAAAAGTTTAATCCCTAAAAAAAAACAGTCGAGCCACCTTAAAGAGACAAGGAAAGCAAATTTCAGACTGACAAAAACAAATTACATCCACTACTATATATACTGCAAATTAAGACTATTATCACAAATTATTTACAAAAGCTTCCACTATTCTCAGTTAAACTTAAGGCAGTTAAAAACTACTTTAAAACTTGTGTAGTAAGAAAAAGATGGCTTTTCGCCGCGCCATAGGGTATCTGAAAAAACTCTCCTTGTTGCCTGTATATAGATATCAACAGATCGGGCTCGAAAGCTTTGAATATTTCATTCACACCTGGTATGGAATGAGCTTAATTAACCATCAGTTTGCAGGGAAAGGAAAAAAAAAAATACTATAATTCTCTTCTCGCACAAATACAAAAACGTTTACTCTATTTTTGTTTAAATTCTAGGAAACTACTTAACAGATCTAGAGTTGACACGGGACGAAAAATTGAATTTACTGCACTTTTGACACGAGTCAAAAGTTAAGTCAAATATGGTATTGGTCAAAAAGTGTAGTGGCTGTGACCATACCTTTGATACTAGTCAAAAATGAAGTCAAATACGACCGCTACACTTTTACAACTCTCTTGAATGGTGCTGAAAAGTGAGAGCAAATATGCAATGAATTACGTCTACAAACACTTATGTCGAAACTGATATTGAGAAAGGAAATTAAAAAGCTGTATTTGAATACTGTTTTAAAGATATTTATACGACAATACCGAACACGGGCGGGTAATCATTGTAATTGCTGTTTTATAATTATTTTTGAAAATGTTCTAGAATATGTACTTTTTCGAAGTGATTTTTTTTTTGTCTTATCTTGAGTGGATCATTTTCTCCTTGATCGATCAATGTACCATGTAATGACAGCGACGCAAAACAATGACTCAACAATTGGACGATGGAAGACTGAACCCAAGCAAGACACCCTGTTTTTGGCGCGAAATTGTCGCGGCTGCAAACTCTCCGCCCCAGCAAACAAACAAACTACGCAGACCTGAAGATAGAGTTTAGACCACAAACTTGTTCAAAAGGTACGTGTCATTCTTTTCTATGTGTTCATGCAATAGTTGTTCTTCAAACTTCAGAGTTGTTTTACTGTGTTAAGCTTACGGAAACCAACTCCGAACAGGCGTGTATGTCGTGCTTGGGAGCTGTTGGGAACTTTTCTGATTGTTAAATCTGGTTCAGTAAACTATAAAATTTTTTCTATATTACAGTAGGGTTTACATTAGATCAAGCCCTTTTTTCTTCATAGGGTTAGTGCATTTCTGCAAAAGTAATAGCTGGCTTATATTTCACAATGCAATTCAAGTCAAAACTCCATGCGAGAACCTACTAACAAGATTATAAACCAACTCTGGTTTTTCTAACAGTTATACTTAACTATGAAAACTACTTCAGGGTAATGAAATAATATAAGACTTACATATATATTTTTCATGGACAGTGTACTTCAATAAAAATATCTGTACCAGACTTTGATGGGCATATTACTAAAGAAAGTACATAAGCTTATTTGAACAGGATTCAGTGCAGTTTATCAAACAAAGAAGTGTGGTTATTTGAAGACTTCGGATGTTTTACAGACGTAAGTATCTCTTTCTATTGATTTTTCCGGGTTCTATACGTAATGGGGCTCAGGCTGCATAATTTTTAAAATATTCCATTGATTTTTGTGCCACCACAATGGCAGCTAGGTATGTTTCAACATATAATAATAATCATTCAAACATACCGAGCTGTCCCTTCTTTATTGTGACTGGACAATAACTTTAAAAATAGCCTGCGTAGCAAGCTTTTCCGCGCGAGTTTTCTGCAAGAGACTAAGTTTGTAGAGGGTAAAAAAAGAGGAAGGAGGGGCCGGGAGGGGCTAACTCGCGCAATAACTCTATTGGAAACGTTTGTTATGCAGGCTAGGTATAATGTAAAGTGTTTCTTTAGTTTAATTTTAAGCTTTGGGCATGGAAGGAAATTTTCATTGAATTTTCCTGGACTTAATTAAGTGATAATAAGGCTCGATTCAAACGTCAAATTTCACAAATGACGAACTTAATGACAATGCATGTACACGAAATGTAATGTTCCCATTCAGAAGCATTAGGTTCGCTACACATTTTTAACCGGATCTTTAAGTTTTGATAAAGGTAAAGAGAAAGGGGAATTTTCTGCAGAAAAGGAGCGATAGTAAAAAGGGAGTGGGGCCGAAAAATTTATTTGAAACACTATGACTGAATTTTTTATCTCAAATTGCTATATTCTTTTACAATTATTTCACAGATAAAAGAAACAAGGCAAAGTGATAAGTCTCCAGTGGAACGAAACACACAACAGAGGAATATTGAAGTTAGATACATGGCGTTTGTCTTTCACTTACATTAAGAATCAAAAGCACTCTAGAATGAAAATCTTCGCAAAGATAACATCAAGACAGATGGGCTCCTGATCAAGAACATTTCTTACTTACCATGATTTTTGCACTGGCTTGCGTGAAACAAGTGTTTTAAACTATTTTGCAGGTTGCCGTCCGTGACAACAGCGTGTATCTGGAACATTTATAGTGACTTCACCTTTGACGTTCGGCAAATCCGTTTTTTCGTCCCGTGTGATTACAAAAGTTATTTTAGAAAATAAAGTAAGGAAAAAGAAATACTGTCACTTGGTCTGAAACAAAAATGTTTTAATTTACAAATTTCGTCTACCAGTTCTGTGGACGTTGGCTTCATAAACCTCGGAATCGTTTCAAGAGAGCATCTGACATATACTGGCTTGTATTCTTATCGTCCTTTGGTTCTTGTACCCTCCTTAAACACCAGTGCTTCCAAACTATGATTTTAGACAAACCGCCAGGGAATTGCCGGCTCCAAAACTGCCGCCCGCGATGCCTGAGACAATCCGCCATCAAAAGCAGTTCTGCCAACTAATATTAAGATCTCGGTCCTTCAAAAATGATCTAACGTATAAGTGGAAGGCTCTACTTGGTTACCTTTCATAAAAACCACCTTACCGATAAGTCGTTTAAACTCTTTCTTTATGTCTCTTTTGAAAAAAGCATAAGACAGCGGGTTAATGGCCGAGTTTAAAACCAAGACAGGTATTTTGTATTGTTCATCTTTACATGATGCATTTGTGTCTGATAGTACAACTAGACTACAATGCAAATATATTCCGTAGCACACAACAAACACTCCTATCACAATACCCATCATTATTACTGCAGACTTCTCGTGATGGGTTTTAAAAGATATCCGATGGTTAAAACGTAACTGTTTTGCTAGGGTGCGTGCTGACTGATCATGTTTCCATACATGAAGTAACATTGACACAAAACAGAGTATCTGCAGAATACAAGGAATGATTTCCATGCAAATCATTAAAACCGCAACTGCAACGATACTGGTCAGAGGGGTCTCACAGCAAAGTCGAAGTGCGGTCTTGAGCGCAACCAGCGTAAATGACGCTATCCAACAGGAAGTTATCACCTGAATAAGACGAGATCGAGTCATAAAAGGTATGTATTTAAAAGGCTTTATGATGGCGATGTAACGGTCGAGCACCAGAGAACACAAGTTTAAAACGGACAAGTAGCTAAACAGCCACCTTATGACATCGATCCATGAAGGAAAAACCTTAGGCCAGTAGCAGGTGTTTGTAATGTCGCAAGCTAACAGAGAAGGAATAACGCTCAGACCAACACACAAATCTGCTACTGCAAGTGAAACAATAAACGCGTTGGTTTTGGTGCGGAGATTTCCTCTGCTGCAGACGAGGTAGATTGTTATTCCATTTCCAGCGATGGCAAGAAACGAAAGAACCCAGCCAAGAATCCAAAACCAGGTCTCCATCCGCAAAAACAGTTAAGGGAAGTTCTTATTAACTACAAATGGAAAGAAAAATATCCTCTTCGCAAAAACATCAGGGGGTTCTCAGTTATTCAAGATGTACGTTACTAGTTTAAATTTCTTTTTATTCTCCTACTTTGTCATAAATTTAGTAATTTCTTATTCGATGTTTTTCCCAGTAGGTAATTAACCGAGCTGTCGCAACACAGTTGGTAGTAAAATGAGGATTGTCGCGTGTCAAAGGAGCAAACTTAACCGTTGTAATTAAAAGGATGGGCGCTTTCTATTCAACTTAAATTCCGGTTTGAAATGTTGGAAGCTCCACGTGTCTAATGGAACTCTACATTCCGGTTATACTGACCCAAGCCAAGCCACCACGCGTTTGGTTATTGATCGTACAAAAGAGTGGTACTGGGGACAACAATACTGTCAATTAAAATTGCACATTTCGGTCCGACCGACCGAAATGAGCGGACCGGTCAAAGTGGACCACCTTCAAACTAGACCCAAATTTTTGGGTCGGATGGAACCGAAATGGTCCGTTCCTTTTGATTTCTAACCGAAATTTACGGAACTTTCAAAGGGAGTGAATGGAAAGCGCCCGACGTGACCTGTCAGTCACGTAAGCAAGAGTTGGTTCTTTTTTTAAACTCATAAGGTGCTCTTTTAAAAGTCAGAACAGTTACTCATAGACCAGATCAGTCCCTTTGAAAATAAAGTTCTGTAACAGGTTTTTTTTCGAGATTTTTTCTTAATTCCACAACCGCCGAACTTAACATTAATGAATTAATCTCTTCTCTTTTGATCTGGCTGGATAGTCCTAATTTGAGTGGAATTCTTCTTACAACTAATAAAACCAGTCTAGTCGGTTACTTCTAACAAATGGAACCCCGACCTTAGCTGATTAGAAAATGCATCTTCAATTCATTTTAAATTGCAGCAGAAATTACGACAAAAGTGCAAATTAATTACCACACTACGAATTGCGGCGGTTATTCCAAGTTACTTCGACTGAACAAGGTTTTGTATTCGGCTTTTCTTAACATCTCGATGCAAGTGAATTTTATAGTTACTGAAACAAGCTTTGACTACCTCTCACCTCCTACCTCTGACAAATCTTGATCAATGAAATGACAGTATATTCGTACTTCATGAAAATCATTTGATATTTATAGGTACCTCAGCAGCACAAAAGACCGTCTCTTATCATATAGAGCGAGTTACTAAGCTTTTTGCCAGAGTAAGTTCCTGCTGTTGTCGTTAACCAATCAGAAGCGAGAAAATAAAATTACATATCAATTAAACAAGACATATATGAGCCTGCAGCATGTTATCTGCCTAGTAGTCTGTTTCGCTTGAAAAGCTGAAGAAGAAATGGCTTTCGATTTCATGATAAATGAAAATGCTTTGTCTGCTTTGTACGTTACCTGTATGCGAATCATGCATTCCATGCTTAGTTCTTTCACTTTTCAGCCAAAGGTGTACTCGACGTCGCAGATTATGCTCACCTGGTAGCCTGCGTAGCAAGCGTTTCCGTTTTGTTTCGGAGAAAATTAAGAACGAGGAACGACAGTCAAAGACCGCGCAAAAATCCCGTTTCTTAGTCTCTCTTTGCGCAGAAACAAAACGGAAACGCTTGCTACGCAGGCTACTCACCTGACACTAATGGCCAAACTCTTTGTGTGCTTAATAATAAAGAGTTTATAAAATATTTCATGCAAACGATAATAGGTTTAAAAAAAAAGCTCCAGCTACTAAACAGAGTACGCAAAGGTTATTTAATTAATGCAAGGGAAAAAATGATCAGAATGTGAAAAACTTGGAGATGTTGCAAGGAGAAATTTCGTCTCAGCCCCGGACCGTTGTAAACCTTGCGCTTGATTCTCGCAGTCTCGTTTTTACTCGTTATTCTAAGTCAATTTACATTTATTTAAGACCTTTTTCGTGCAAAAGTCAATTATGTTGGTGGAAGCCTTTAACTGGCGCTCTGTCTTTAAAAACACGATGTCCATTAGTTTTTAAGGCAGTTGTAATCAACTGTGGAAAAAAAGCACCCTCTTCACAGAAATTTTTGTGTAACCTTTATTAGTTATTTATAAAACCTTGTAACTAAATGTTTTATAATCCTTTTAATATACATGGCACAAGACGCCTGGAGTATCGAGTCGATATGATGTTTAACAACTGTTCTCACTGTGGCTTACCAATCAATTAACAAAATCGTTTAGTTAAATGTCGTCTTTTGCATTTTGATCATATAAGCATAGTCTGCGACGTCGACCACAACTTTTGCTTACATGATAGCCTGCGTAGCAAGCGTTTCCGTTTTGTTTTGGAGCAAATTAAGAAAGAGGAAGGACAGTCAAAGACCGCGCGAAAATCCTGTTCCTTAGTCTCTCTTTGCTCCGAAACAAAACGGAAACGCTTGCTACGCAGACTATTCATCTGATACTAATGGGCAAACTCTTTGTGTGTTTAATAATAAAGAGTTTATAAAATATTTCATGCGAACGATAATAGGTAAAAAAAACCCTCCAGCTGCTAAAAAGAGCATGCAAATTAAGGTTATTTAATGAAAAAAGCAAGAAAAAAAAAATATACTGATCACGATGCGAAAAAGAGATGCTATGAGGAGAAATTTCGTCTCGGCTCCGGACCGTTGTAAACCTTGAGCTTGATTCCCGCGCTCTCGTTTTTAGTCGTTATTCTAAGTCAATTTACATTTATTGAAGACCTTTTTCGTGCAAAAGTCAATTATGTTGGTGGAAGCCTTTAATTGGCGCTCTGTCTTTAAAAACACAATGTCGATAAGTTTTCAAGGCAGTTGTCATCAACTGTGCAAAAAAAACCACCTTCTTCACAGAAATTTTTGCGTAACCTTTATTAGTTATTAGGGACCTTAAGCATCGACAACGAAATACATGACGACGACGTTTGTAACCCAAGGAGGATTGGGTCGAGGCTTTCGTTCTCGGCGGGAAAAACGAAAGTTAAGCAGCGTGTTGTTTTTATGAGAGGACGATTTTTGGTTCTCTGACAAGTAGCTCTAGCTATGGCTTTCAAAAACGTCCGAAATCTGCTTCTAATTAATCACAACGATGGCTTTATCAATGATGATGAATTTGTTGTTCTGTACGACCTCTATGCATCGAAGAACCCCGATTTTCCGTACGATTCGTACGCACCTTTTGACCTGGAAGAGCTTGACGAGTCTGAGAGTTTTGCAGAGTTTCGCTTTGGAAAACGAGATATACGAATTTTGAAGGAAGTTTTGCTAATCCCTGACACGATTACCTGCAGTCAGCGCTCTGTTTGTGATGGACTAGAAGGTCTCTGCATGCTGCTAAAGCGGCTGTCTTACCCATGCAGATATGGAGACATGGTCCATAGATTCGCTAAACCTGTTCCAGTTCTTAGCATGATCACCAATCAAATGATTGACTTTGTGTATAATGTTCACGAGAACAGAGTACTAAACTGGAATCATGAGGTCCTTAGTCCTGTCAACCTGCAGACTTATGTTGATGCTGTGACAGCCAGGGGAGCCCCACTGCCCAATTGTTTTGGGTTTATTGACGGTACCGTTAGGCCGATATCAAGACCTGGAGAACATCAGCGACTTCTTTACAATGTGCATAAAAGGGTTCATGCCCTGAAATTTCAAAGCATTGCTTTGCCAAATGGCTTGATCGGAAATCTATATGACCCAGTTGGTAAGTTACAAAACAGTACAGGCCACCAGCTTTAAAGCAGGGATGTGACCAGCTTTTTGACCGGTGGCAGGCCTGATAAACGCAGGACACCAAATGTTTATTTTTGTAGACCTTGCACTTATTTAAAAAAAGGGAAAATATTGAAAAAAAAATGAAACATTTTACAAGACTATAGGACAGGCTAAATTTATTGATTTTCTTATTCAATAATGATTACCAAGGTGAGATCACTTCAACAGTTTATTGGGAGCATAGCCAGAGGGAAGAGGGGACTGTCCCCCCCTCCTTGAAATAAATATAAACTCAAGATGAAATTAGAAAAAAGTTTCTGAAGTACTCATATAATCAACAGCTTATGTAACCCAATTGTCAGCAACCTTTACTCTTACACTAATACCTACCATCGCCTACCTATTTTTAGAAGGCCGAAAACATGATGCAGGAATGCTTGCTGATTCACAGCTACTACACGACCTTCATCGGTTTGCCTACAATCCAGCTGGCCAGGCAGTCTGTGTTTATGGTGACCCTGCCTACCTCCTTAGAGTGCAGATGCAACGACCCTTTAGATATGGTGTATTGACACCACAAATGCAGCAGTACAATGCAGAGATGAGTGCTGTTAGTAGTTCTGTGGAATGGCTGTTCGGAGATGTAATCAACTCATTTAAGTTTAATGACTTTAAAAAAGATCTGAAGCTTTTCCTCAGCAGTGTTGGAAAGATCTATGTTGTTTCTGTCATACTGCGTAATGCAATGACGTGCTTGTATGGTAACATGACCTCAGAATTTTTTGACCTTAGGCCACCTACTCTTGACACATACTTTGGCTAGGAAACTACACTATTGCCCAGTTTACATTGCCTTTGATAAAATGTGTATCAAAACCTTATAACTGCAGTTAACCATGGTAGGTAGATATTTGTATGCTGATAAGTTAAAGACTATTTCTCACACCATTGAACTTTTGAAAGAGAAAATGAAGAATAATAAAATTAAGCACAATTTTATTTCTAAAAGTTTTCTATTTTTCAAGAAATGTTATTGTAACTATTGATTTATTTCCCAACTTTATTTTCCATTTTTCAGAAAATGGTGGTTAATTAACTTAAATTAATTTTATAAATAGAAATAAAAGAGATTTATCAAAAAAAAATTAAGAACAACATTGCAGAGTCAGGTTATTTTTTTGGAATTCCTTTATCAAACATTTTACAAATATAGGAGCCCAAGGGCCTGTTTGTTGGAGGTTGGGCTGGCACTAACCCAGGATGTTTACTATGCTGAATT